CAAAAATGAAAAAGGAAGAAGAAAGACTGCAATGAATCTAATTGAACTCCTTGGCAAAACATATAAAGAGGCAGACACAGCTTCATACAGAAAAATAAAGAGTTAGTAGAAAAGCAGTTAAAATATTAATAATTCTCAATGAAAGTATCAACATATTGAAATACTTCATTGGCCTTTTTTGATTTTGGCAAGAGTTAGTAGTGAGCCTGGAAAAATTCTATGAAAATCTTTGTTTAAGGCCACTCATTTTTTTCCATTAAATTTGTAAGTGTAATTAAAAGAAACACCAAAGCATATGTAAAATAGAAATGTATGTTTGGAGCACTTAATCCTCCAACTTTTGTTCAGGGTATGAATACCTGTTTTGGATCTAATTTCAAACTTTACTCTGTTGTCTCTCCTCCTTAAAGATGCTAATAAGACAAAAGAAAAGCCTACTTTTTTATACAATGTATGTTAATTTAGCCTAAGAGAGGTATAAATGCATAATTACATATTGAAATACTTTTAACAATTACCTGTAATTGTTGATTTCATCAGTACTGTGGCTCAGTGAGGCAGTTCTCAATATTTGCAGCTGGATGTTCACTGGTTGTTAATGAATGTTTGTGTTAATGGATTCTAGGCACTGGAGGTGCCACCTCATGAGGACAGCTTATGCCAACCAGCCACCTGCACTCCTCTGGGGTGGGACCTGGACTCTCCTGTGGGTGCAATGTGTGTTTGGTGGCCATAAGCACACAAGTTCTCTGAATCACAGGGTCTGGCTGAGAGGTGCTGAGATGGTGGTGTCTTGCTACCTGCAAACCCAAGAAGTCTCATGATTGTATAGGTAATAGAGCAGGCTTGCTCTCTGTAATGCAGTACTAGATGATCTCTCATGTCCCTCTAATGACTGTCTTGTATGTTACATAGCATTTGGCACTGAGTGTCATTTTCAGGGTAATGATTCTTCCATCGTTCCGTACAGTTTGCTGCTAGATATGGATTTGAGCAAAAGATTATATTGCTCACAAGCATTTACCCGATGCCTTTGTTTCAGATGGAACAGAGCTTTTTCTTCAGAGTGTCTGGTATGATGTTGTGTTTTGGTTCTAGGAGAAGAACAGTGTTGATAACACACTGATATTTATAGTTGCTGCTAAGCAGTGTTGTACAGAGCCAAGGCCATTCTCACCAAAGGGCCCAAGTTGCTGGGAGGGATCAGAATCAGGATGGCTGACTTAAAGTTTAGACTTAAAGTTCAGCCTGCAGAAGAGGAGGCTCAGGGGAGACCTTATTGCTCTCTATAACTTCCTGAAGGGAGGTTGTAGTGAGCTGGGGGTCGGCCTCTTCTCTCGTGTCATTAGTGATAGGACCAGGGGGAATGGTTTCAAGCTACGGCAGGGAAGATTCAGGCTGGACATGAGGAAGTATTACTTTTCAGAAAGGGTGGTCAGGCACTGGAATGGACTGCCCAGGGAGGTGGTGGAATCACCGAGCCTGGGGGTGTTCAAGGAAAGACTGGATGTTGTGTTGAGGGACATGGTTTAGTAGGAGCTATTGGGAATAGGTGAACGGTTGGACTGGGTGATCTTTTAGGTCTTTTCCAACCTTAGTGATTCTATGATTCTATGAAACTGACCAAAGGGATAATTCCATACTGTATGACATCACGAGAAATAAGTTTTGAAGGGGGTGGGAGTTCATCTTGCTCTCTCCCACTGCTTAGGTGGCAAGCTGGGCATTGATCAAGGGGTGGTGAGCAATTGCTTGTGCATCGCTTGTTACATACTTTCATGTATATATATATTTGTCATAATTACTATCCTTTTCTCTTAGTAAATATTAAGTCTTAGTAAACAATATTATCTCAAACCAAAAGTTCTACTTCATATTTATATATATATATATTCATATATATATATATTCATATATATATATATATATATATATATATATATTTAAATTCTCTCCCCCATCCTACTGGGAAGAGGAAGAGTGAGAGAAAGCTCACTCTTTGAGTGTGGTGCTGAGTCACCTGCCAGGTTATACCCCAGCAATCAACCACACAGACACAAATACCTGGTCTTTAGCTGCTCCAAATTGGCCACTCAAACTTAGTGGAGGATTTGATGGCAGACTCTCTTTCTGCCTAATTTTCATCAGTAGGTCAGCCTCTGCATTGTGTGTTTCATTTTGTTAAAGGTATGAGGTTTTGTAGTTGGTTCCTCTGGTAGATCCTGCATGGTACTTACATGCATTAGAAGCTGTTTGTACCTTTGAAATTCTAGATTGTAGTGCCTCCGTATGTCCAAAAATTACAGATGCTTCTTGGTATTTTTGCATCTATACAATTTTTTTATTTTTTTTTTTAGTTGATACTGTGAGGTAGTTCTGTGTCTTTAAAAAACCTAAGAACTGCTGCAGTGAGGAGCATAGGAAATCCACAGTGAAGTTTGGGAATCTGCATTTGACCAGTTTGAAGCTCGGGCCGAATGCTGATTAAAAGCAAAAATCAAAATATCACATACCCTATTTCTCTACAAGTATTATCTATTCTTTGCACAAATACTGTGGAGACAAACAAGATCTTATAGTAGTCACCTTCAGGCTTTTGTGAAAGAAGGAAAGAGAAAGAGGAAAAGACTTCCCCCAAAACATTGGTTTAGAGTCCTGAGCCTTCTGACTGTGCAGCTTGTTGCTCAGCAGATGCCTTGCAGTGAGGTGGGTTGTTGCTGCCTCTGGATTCAGCTGTTGGGACAGCAAAGCCAAGTCTGTTCCTGTTTCTTTAGAAATGCTGCAAGCTGTCTTCCCATCAGAGCAGCAAGTTACAAGATAGGTCTTGCTCTGTTGGAAGGATACCTGCTAATTTTAAATTAATACCTTTAAGGTCATTTGAATCCAGATGACTTATTAACTTCATCCTTAACTGAATCCAGAGTGATTAAAAAAAGTGAGTTTGGGTATCTGTCTTTGAATGTCTGGAAAGCTTTGAGCTGTCTTCCACATTGTCTTCACATTTTTGAAGAATCTGAATTTACGGGACTTTCTTATTTACTTTAAGGAAGTTTGAATGCAACTTGCTTCTTATATTTATTATGTAATTTTATTATGTTACTAATAGATATTTAATTCATACACAATCCGCTTACAGCCTGGCCCTTTTACATGCTACGTGCCTCTCTTCAGTACCACACATGTCCATGTATTTCAAGAAGAGCTGGATGATACTTGCATGAGGTCATCGTATTGTGTTTCTTATTGTCATGGATTCTCGTTGTGTGTCTCATCCGCTTATTTTACCTTCTTTGTAATCCTCCCTTATTCAAGGCGACTTTGGTGGTCAGTGCTCCATTGCTGACTTATAAATTTCTGTTGCTTCCTCTGTAAAACAAGCACAGGCAGATTTCTTTTTTTTTTTTTTTTTTTCTTTTTTCTTAAGATGTGCTATATCACAGCCAAAGCACAGATACAACATGTGGTCTTACAACACCCAATGAACCAAAACCTGCAGGTGTTATATGAATTTGGTACCATATATGAAGCGGGGCAGATTAGCACTAAGCCTCTGTTGTGACTTATGTGGAGAACATGATGAAGAGATACGAATTGTAACTTGTGTTATTCCCAGCAAGAACACAAAACGTGACTATGTCAGCCAGTGATAATAGGAAGAGGAAATTCAGGATTGACTTCTTATTAGAAATCAGGGAGCTGTCACTGGTTTATGTTTCCCCATTCAGCTTGGGCCTGTATGAACAGGTGGGTGAGCAACTTCCTCCCTTGCGTGAGGATGCCCGTGCACACAGGCACATACACTGCTCATACATGTCCAAGTTGCCTGTTTGTGCTTTTACAGATTTGTTTGTGTGTTGATTGCTGTCAGCTTCCAAGAAAATTGCCTGCCGGAGCCTTTCCTGCCATTCTGCTAGCTGCTTGCACTGGCTTTGGGGCTTGAGAGGGGTGAGGGCTTGGTGACAAAAGTCAAGTCTAAAGCAGTCAAAAAGGACTGGCTTTTATTACTGTCTTGTGAGATTGCAAACTGCTTTCTGGTCTTCTTGAAACATTTCCTTGTAAATGTCATCAGGAGTTACTTATTTTACTTAGTTTTTCATTCCTTACCCCTTACATGAAGCTGAGTACAAGAAAAATTGAAATGAATTACTGAAATGAAATTAAAATGAAATTTTTAGTCTGAAATTTTAACGTGCTTGGCACAAGCAGGCTGCCTTGTGGATCCCAGGAAGGAAAAAGCAGCAATAAGAGCCAGTGAGCAGCTGTTGGATTTCCCTATAGGTGCAAGGGGATCGCTGGGCAGCCTGAGTGCCCAAAAGCCTCTGCCCCCAGCCTCATGGCTCTACCACGGGTGGGGTGGAGGAGCAGAAAGAGGAGGAGGAAGAGGAGGAGGAGGAGGAGACATGGTGCTTTCGCTCCCGCTGACTGCATGGGCTGGGGCAAAAGACAGAAAAAAAGGAGGAGGGGAATAAAAAGTAGAGAAGGGGGAGAGAGAGAGAGAGTGAAAGAAAACGAAGCCCAGCTTCTGCCGGTGCTGCTTGGATTGGATCTGGTTTGAGTTTCCTCTCTGCTGGCTTATGCAGCAGGAGAGGAGGAGTGGGGGAAGTAACTTGCTCGCCGCCCTTCCTCTGGAGCTGAACAAACGTGCTGGGGACTGTGCCGGCGGCAGCTGCCCGGCTGCACTGCCTTGCAGCCTGTTGCTCTGAGTTACTAGAAAACTGCTTGGACTTCTCAAGAGCCTGGAGGAGAAAGCCACCACTTCACAGACCCGCTTAGTTGCTCAGTGTCTGTAGACTTGACACGTTTTTGTTTTTGTTTTTCCTAGGGAATTCTTTTTTTTTTATTACTTTTCTCCCGTCTTTCTCAGAACAGCAGCTCCTTGAGTGTGTGGCATTGAAATCTGTCGCCTTATTAACAACACTGGGAGATATTTTTTCCAAAAGTTCCCCCCCCCCCTCTTTTCCTTAAAAAAGAAAAAAAAAAATCAAAATCGAAGGAAAAAATATAAGCCTTCTGGGGGGAGGGGAGATGATCGTGCTGATGTGGAATAAGTGCTCCTGCTGCCTCCTCTTACTAGCCGCGGTCCTGATCATGGAGAGCTCCCAGCTAGACAGCTCCAGCTCCAAGGTGAACTCCATCAAGTCCACCCTGATGGGGGAGGCTCCAACTCAGGCAACCAACAGATCCGCAGGCATCCACCAGGGACTGAAGCTTGCTAGCAGTAAGAAGGGGAAAATGCTAGAGCAGATAAGAAAACCTCCCAAGCACTATCACCGGCAAGGAGAGGTAGGACATTGCTTCATTGCTCAAGTGTCTGTCCGTCTGCGTGCTATATGCAAAGAACTGCTAGCCTCCCTCTCAAGTTGCTTCCAAAGCTTTACTGTGTTGCATTAACTTTTTCAGGGTTGTCTGGCACAAGATAATATTAAAATAGGTGTTAGGAACTGTGAGAGTAGTCATTGGAAGGTCTTAAACCTTTAATTTTTATCTGTAGGATCAGTAACTGATGAAAGAAAGAGTAATCCAATGAAAATCATCCTCAGTATCCCTTTGTCTGCCTACAGCTGGAAGTAAAGGAAGAAACTTCTTGTTAACTCTCAGACAATAAATGAATAGAATTTTAAATGGATGAGGAAAATCTGAATACAAGGTGAAAAGATGTTTCTAGTGGTGAAGCAAATTTGCTTCTAAAAATCTTACCTAGTAAGTTAATCTAAGTTAATCTCTGATATCTTTCCCTGTGGTGAGAATGAACAGGCATTCTGTTCCGGTAGCATGGCTTAGGGCATGTTCATTTGCTTATTATGATAGAAAATAAATTCTAGGTTTCTTGTGCAGTATACACTCCATTGGTTGTGGAAGTTTTGTTTAGTTACAACGAATTGGGATAGGTGGTGAATTGTGGTCTTGAATACAAAGTTTGAGTGTAAGGAAAAATAAAAGATTATAGCAACTATATGGAAAAAAAGCAAAACCAAAATTGGACTTGGTTGTGAATTATACTGTCTCTTTCCTCCTAAGCCTACCTGAAAATAGGAGAGCCTGATAGAAAACATTCTTTATTTCTGATAAACTAAAAAGCAGTATTTTAAACTGTCAATCCTTATTGATCCTCTAGTTCTCTTCCATCAAGCCTCAGTTTGGATGGTGTGAATGTTACTCATTTGTGGTGTTGAAGGAGTTAGACTTCTCCAGAAAATACAGTTTTTATACTATTGGGTATTATTAGTACCTCAAAATACAGCTGCTTTTCATAAGCAACAAACAGTGTGGCAGCAAGAAAGCTGCCAGCATTCAGGGCTAAAAAGGCAAAATACTCAGTGCCCGAAGGGTCTCTGTCTTGCCTACATTTTCCTTAAAACAGCAGAGAAGCTGAAAATTCAAATGACCCACTGAATTTGTTACATTTCATATCAGCTTCCTAATAATTAAACGTTAGCATTTGGTTCTGTGTGCAGGCATAATAATAATGATGGTAGTTTTTGTTTTCAAACATGGTAAATTTGTTTTTAAACTACTCTGAGCTTTCTTTTCCCTAGCCACTCAATTGTTTTATAATTCACCCAGAATTTGGTTGCATTTCCTTACCTCTGAGCAAAGTTTAGTAACAGATGCTGTGCTCAAGTTTCATATTACTGAAGTACTGCACTTTTTCCTTGTGCAGATTGTAATAAATATCATGCTAAATCACCTTGAGGAAATACAGGAGCATGGTATGCTTTCTTTTACGTTTGCCTTGTTTTTTCTTTAGTGTGTATTCACCAAAAGTCAGTACATAGGGCCATTTTCCGACTGAGCGTTACCTGTCTCATGTGTTTCAGGGCAGATCCTTGTGGGGCTGTGCTGTGCAGCCCACTCGCAATTTTGCCTTTTGGAGAAGTCTTGCCGTCTTTCTCTGAGTGCACCATCCTAATTTCTTGAGTGTATATTTATCGCAATGATGAGGATGATTGGGTGTAATTTACCTAGCTTCTGGAAAATAGGGTGCACTGACCACAAGTTACATTTGGAAGGTTTTGCCCATGTAAACATGAATTGTTTGCCATAGATTTCTAGCTACTGGCAACCCAACTCTCAAGGTGTATGTCAAGCAGGAGAAAGCATTTTAAGTGTCTGTAATCCCAGAAGAGGTGGCACACGCATTAAGATATCCTGTATGTAGCACTTGCCGTGAGTTTACCTGAGGAAGCCTCTCTGTGCTCTTCCTCAAGCGACTTGCTGAGGATTGGTGGCTGTGGCTCCTCAGGGAGTGAAACCTCAGCTCCTGTCAGGGCTGTTGATCACAATTCCTTTCTCTCTACCTGGGACTGTCCCTGGGAGCTGCGTGCTCTCACACTGCTGTACATCATGAAAATGACTCAGATTTACTAGCAGTAATTGGAGGTATTATTTCTGATCCTCCACCCTGAGGCAAAACAATTAACATAGAATTGCTGCAGAAGGAAAAAAGAAAAAGTTACTCTTGCTACAAGACTTTATTGTTGGTGTTGCTTCTAGTTGCCGGGTTGGTAAGCCGCTGCATTCTTTACGGTGGTTTGACACATGGTTTCAACCAGGACATGACATTGTAATAATTGCTGTAAATTACTCTTTTATTAGATTGGTTATTGATTTGTTTAGGTTATGGGACTTTGCATTGAAATGTTGCGTGCCATTTGCCAAAAGAATAGAGATGTGCATGCCTTTCTTTCTAAAACAATCCTTTGCATTAATGGAATTTATAATACGTTGAAAATGGAAGTATCTTTCATATTTTGGTAATGTGATTTGAGTAATTTGCACAACTAGGAAATAATTTTACTAAGGAGTAGGGTTATGAATCTTGAATAGATTTTGCAAGGGCTGCTGTGACAGCTCTGAGGTATGCAGTAACCTATCTGCTGATACCTGCAGTGGAAATCAGAGGACTGCCACCAAAACTGCTGGGAGCTCCACCAGCCAGCAACCTATTTGGTAGATCAACACGCTTGCAGAGGGTTTCTTCAATACATTAATTCTCTGGACTAGGAGCAACTTGGGAGTCTTTAATCAGCTATAAATCAACAGATACAATAGTTCATGGCTTATCTGAAGTGTTGATGTATTTCAGCTGGTGGTTACAGTGCATCTACCCAGAAAAGGAAGATCCTGTGCTTTGCTGTCAGGCAAAGTTCCAGTTCAAATTAAAGAAATCACTTTTTGTGAACAAAGTAAGCTGATTTGGCTTGCTGGAGAGACTGTCAGGTCAAGCGTGGATCTTACTATGACTTGTCTTTTTATGTCTTTCTAAGGAATATTATTTATTTTCTGTTCTTATTCCCTTTGCTGCCTTGGATCAGTAGAGAATGAGTACTGACATGCTAAATTGGTGAGACTTCACCGTCATTGCTATTCTTCATTTTCACTCCCGTTTTCCCCTTTCTGCAGACTGTTAATGTTTTCCCATTTTCACAGGGAATCACAAGGTGGCTATAGCATGTGCACAAGAGAAAAGCATGCTCAGAAATCGGAGTGTACAGTGCATGTGAGATTGTTACTTTTCAGAGCACTCAGTTCTGTATGCTGTCTGCCACCAGTTTCCTTTCACAACTTGATTTAGAGGAATGACTTTTGGGAGCAGCCAACATTTTGGTAGTTAGCCACTTCTAGAAAGTTGTCATGGATATATTGGATACATCATTTCTCTCAATAAATAAAATGCAGTGAATAGAGCCATAAATAAAAGAGGCCAGATTGGCAGTGTTACTTTTTCTGCATGTTAGATACAGCTTTCACTGCATTAGTAGGAAAGCTCTTCTGTGTCATCGTTCTGCTACAGTGACACAACCTGAAAGGGAAATGCCCATATATCATAATTAGGATTGCAAGTCATAACTGTTCATAGATTTCTTTATGGTGGCACTGTAGCAATTTCAGTTCACCACATTTCAGATTTCTTCCCTCCAGATGGTGTTCCCTCTCTCCTCCTCCCTAGATCAGCACTGGGTTTTCCTCCTCCATCACAGTGATGTGGTAGGCTGAGAGCTACGGAGCTCCATTTCCAGCCATTTCCCTTCTTCAACCTGTAGGTTCCATGGCCTTCTACCTTTCCCAAGCCCTGGCTGAAAGCCATTCTTGCATTTCTCTTCCTGGCAGGTTGCATCTCCCATTTCCCCCACCACTAGCTTGTTGGGTTTGTGCCTCCTACCAGGACGGGCCCTCCCACTTCCTCACATGCACAGCGAGAGCAGCAGCAGTGAGGGAAGAAGTGGGACAGCCAGGAAAGGAGATGGGTATGTCTGCAGAGTGGGTGAGAGAGAATGAGGTTTGGAACAGAGAAAAAGGAGAGAAAAGCTGGGACGAGTTATAACACTACAGAGGCATGACGGACAGATACCAGCGAAGTCTTTGTGTTTCAGATGTGCTTGGCTTAATTTGATTTATCTTTTTTTTTTTTTTTTACTCTTTGCTAAGAGACTTAAACCCACAGAGACCAAAGCATAAAGGCATTAATCAAAATGGCTACACTGACACTGACCTCATCTCTATCAATACACAGACATGCATGCACTTCTTAAACAGGATGTAGTTACCCACAAGGACTTGCTAGAAAATGCTTGGATGGTGCTTTGTAGCAAGTAAAACAGCATGAAATTTAGTAATTGACTTCAGTGCCCTGAGAATGTTACAGAAGAATGTACCAAAGACACCAAAAATGCAACCACAATATCTTGAATAGCTAGCAACCAAGACAGTATGAATTATTTCTCCATTGAATTAAAAATAAATTGATTACAATACCTAGAAGTTACATCCAGCAACAATCCAAAAATGAAAAAGAAAAAAGAAAAAAGACCAGGAAAAAAACCCAAACCAAAAAAAGCACAGGATTGCTAAATCTGCAGAGGTCACTAGAGAATGTATTCTTTGCTCTTCTTTGTGGAATCTGGGAGACACTGGCTTACTGGCAGCAGTCTTGCTAAATAGTTGAGTGGCTTGTCTCTTGATTGCAAAAATGGGATGTGGAGTATTAGCTCCTTCCTGGGTTATGCTTTGGTGCCCACTTTAATTTGTTGTTATTATTTGACTTCTTAATACAGAACAAAAGCGCCTATAAAGCAGCTTTTCTAGAGCTACTTTCTACTAATGTTGCAGTAGCGCTGAGAAAAATGTCTCGGGCTCTGATGCAGTGCCTGGTGTGTACTTAGGGAAATTTAGTTTCTGTCTGGAAAATCTGTCAAGGTCTGAGGACAACACAAAAGATGAGGAAGCTCGATTACATTTTTCCCTCAGAAAAATGACTCTGATTAGGACACTGATTAACTGAT